CTGGCTACGCAATGCGTTCAATGTTTGTCTCTGCGCTCATGTTCAACTCATTGGTATCGCCTGTTCAGATTTGGGATCAATTCTGTGAAAGTTTCTGTGATGATCTTGAGCATGCAATCGTGCAAAAAGGGTATTCGCTGCTGCTCAGCGTGCAACCTGACGCTGAATTTTACCATGGAACGCGAAGTCTTGATTACGGCTTATATCTGTTGCAAACATCTCTTGGTGCACAAGACAGATCTCTAGGTCAGTTCAATTTGCCTTTGCCTCTCTTCAACTGGAATGGCTTGATAAGCAGAATGACTGGCATACAGCGCAATTCATTGATACTCAATGAAATGTCATATCTCCAAGATCAAGAAGCCTTTTCGTACCAGCAAAAGTACGCTCAAATGAACGCTACCCAGAAGCACGTATTTGATACCATCACCTCCTCCATCAACAGCAACACCAATAGCTCACATTTCTTTTTGCAAGGTCCAGCTGGCACTGGCAAAACCTTCATTTACAATACTCTTTGTCACTTTTATAGAAGCCAAGGAAAAATTGTTCTCTGTGTTGCCTCCTCTGGCATTGCTGCTTTGCTACTTCCTGGTGGGCGTACGTCGCACTCTCGCTTTGCCATTCCACTCAACATCCACGAGCAGTCTGTGTGTGCAATCAAGAAAAACGATGATCTTGCTGATCTCATTCGAGAGACATCATTGATAATTTGGGATGAAGTGCCAATGCAGCATCGATATTGCTTTGAAGCTTTTGATCGAACACTTCGTGATATTTGTAGTCGTGGTGATGAAGTTACCTTTGGTGGTATTCCTGTTGTTCTTGGCGGTGATTTTGCTCAAATTCCACCTGTTGTTAGGCAAGGTGGCCGTCCTGAAATCGTCAATGCCTCACTGAAATCGTCAAGATTATGGCCCAAATTACAAAAGCTGAGCCTGACTGAGAATATGAGACTTGCCAACTCCAATGACACAGATAGGCAATTTGCAGATTGGATAGGAAAAATGTCGTATGAACCATCCATGATTGGCAGCATTGCTTTGCCCTCTTTTTTGAGGCAGATGACTGATCTTGATCAGTTCATTGAAGATATCTATCCTCAGCATGTTCTGCAGTGTCCTCTGCAAAATAGTGATTTCTTCAAGGAAAGAGCTATTCTCTGTTCAAAGAACGTCAACGTTGATGCTATTAACAGCAAGGTGATGGAGAACGTGATTGGGGAAAAGGTCACTCTGTACTCTGCTGACACAGCTCAGTCTGATCTGACCAACACGGAGACCCAAGCCTATCCCTCAGAGTATTTGCAAACCCTTTCGCCTTCAGGGCTGCCGCCAGCAGTTTTGGAGTTGAAAGTAGGTCTTCCTGTAATGCTCTTGAGAAACCTCAACCCTGAAAGAGGTTTGTGCAATGGTACAAGGCTGATCATTCAGCAAATTGGACAGTATGTCCTCAAGGTGAAAATCCTCGGAGGGTCAGGTGCAGTAGAGTTGATTCCTCGCTTTACATTATCAACATTGCCTGGTACATTACCATTTATTTTGACTAGGAAACAGTTCCCTGTAAAAGTGTCTTTTGCGATGACAATCAACAAGTCTCAGGGGCAATCCCTTAGAAAAGTCGCTGTAGACCTCAGGAGTCCTGTTTTCACACATGGCCAACTCTATGTTGCCATCTCGAGAGCAACATCTGCAAATGGTATGACAATTCTACTGCCAGAAAATGCGACTCGGACAGAGAATGTTGTCTACCCAGAAGTATTATATAATATAAATGCTGTATAAAAAAAGTTGGTCTGTAACTCCCAACTCCTGTCGTCTCAATCAAGTTTCAAGTCTATTTTTTGTTTTAAAATCTTCGAATCGAATATAATCATTGTTTAAAACCTACTTGATATACCAAATTTTTATTATCTCTGATTTGAAATGTCTTCGGCCAGAGCCCGCAGGGCGACGCCGTCATCGAGCGTAGCGAGATAGATCGGCTAGTCTAATATATATACTGTAAAACATTCAAAAAAAGTAGACAAGCCAATCATATCCTTTTAAAATTTAATAGTATTAAAAGCCAGAACAAACGAGGGCATAACCACCGGCGAAGCCGGCAATGGGGAGGGGGTTTGGGGGAGGGGGCTTAGCCCCTCCACCAAGAATATAAGGCACCAAAAAAAAATTTGATACATTGCTTTTTGTTATTATACGTACGTAATAATATGCCTCCTACTATTCAAACAAGACACTGCACGACCTGTAGAGCTGCTCTTCCAGTAGACTATGCTTATCGGAAATGTGATTCATGTCGAGTAAGTAAAATGGCTTTTAACGCCTAATAAAACCCTGAGACGCAATGGTTTATTTTGTTTGTACTCAAATTCAGGAACGAGCGCGAAATTACGCCAGGCAAAGAAGATTGGCGAATCGAAGAACACCAAGAGCACCTGCAGCGTTTGTATCAAGAACTTGGAAGAGTACAACGTTCAGATTTGGGCAGAATGGACAACCAATGTGATGGATGTGGAGCTTTGCATTGGGCCGCAGAGAGGGCTGTTCAACAGCGAGTAAACGACAACTGCTTTCATTGCTTGCTGCAAAAAAGGTAGAGCTGTCTTGCCCTTTTGCAGAGCCTCCCGAGCCTTTAAATAGCTTGATCAACGGAAGCCATCCTCGATCCTCTCATTTTTTGCAGCACATGCGACAATACAACACTTTGTTCGCATTTACATCATTTGGCACCGATGCTACGCCTGAGCAGCTCCAAAGGGATAGAGAGAATGAGATGAGAGGCGGCATCACGCCGGTTCGTGTTCATGGGAACTCTATCACTTGCAAGCACCACTAAATTTGAGCAATGTGCCAAAGTATAGCCAGCTGTACGTTTACGACCCAGAGTATGCCGCTGCGATTCGCTGTGCAGACCCCAGAAATCAAGGATTGGACGACACGATCATTGAGCAACTGAGTGAAATGATTGCTGATCCTGTAGTTTGTGGCAATCCATTTGTAAGCATCTACAAACATGCTCACGAAATCCTGAAAGAAGAAGAGGAGAGGCAAGCTCAAGATGGTGTTAGCGAGAATGCTCACAATCAGGCTCAGTCCTCAGATGCAAATGGAATTGGTTGTTGGCCAGGACAGACGCACTCAAAATCTGCCAACTGTCAACGAAGATTGCTGCCATCATTCCAAACGAGTGTTCTGACAGGAGTTTCAGAGATATTTTTGATCACATATCGTAGCAATTACCTCGGCCAGGGCTCAAGGCCAGTTTAAGCGTATCAATGAGACGCATGCTGCATATATGCCTCTTCATTATGCCTTGCTTTTTCCTAGAGGTGAATATGGGTGGAATTGGGGCCAAAGACTGCAAATCGTCAGCGCAAACTGCTGATGCCATGATTATTGAGAGCGAAGAAGATGAGACACCAGCAGAGCAACACAACAACAACAAGTGTCAGATAGCCGACTTACCCAGGGCGTGTTCTACAGATTTCGATTGCATGTTAGAAACAACGAGTCACAAGATCATTTTTTTGTCAAGACGTCTATTTCAACAATATGTGATTGATGCCTGGGCAATCTGTGAGCAAACAAAACTGAAACTGGATCAAAGTCAATCAGACGAATCTTCGACGCTGATGTGTATATAAAGGACTTTGCTGATGCTACCTCTGCTGCTGACTCAGACCCTCGAACAGGTGGGAAAGACGTTCATCTTGCCCAGTAGCTTCACTGGTGGACCGCGATTCATGATGCAGCTATATCAAAATGCAATGGCTATCTCTAGATTCTTTGGTAAGCCAACGTTATTCATCACATTTACTGCCAACCCAAACTGGAGGGAGAATCCAAGATGAATTGTTGCCAGGGCCAAACAGGCCGCTGATCGCCCCGACTTGGTTGCTCGAGTATTCAACCTTAAGCACGAGAGCTGCTTAAAGACTGAAAGACAGAAAGGTCCTTTGGCGTTATAAAGCATTGTAAGGACTATTGAGTATCAAAAGCGTGGTCTCCCTCACGGTTCATATGCTATTGTTTTTGGATGCAAAACAGATAGATTTGATACGCCAGAGAGGATTGATCAGATCATTTGCGCTGAGATCCCAAATGTTGAAGAAGAACCTGAATTGCATGCAATCATCACTCGCAATATGATGCATGGCCCATGTGGCGAGCTAAACTCAAAGTCTCCGTGTATGGTACAAGATGCTTTTGGCAATGATGTATGCTCAAGAAATTTCCCAAAACTACCAGCCAGTAACGGTGACAGTGCTGATGGTTATCCTACTTATAGAAGAAGAAGAGATGGTCGTTCTCATCAGGTGCGCGTCAAGGACAAGTTGGGTGTCTACCGCGATTTCCACATGACGAATGAGTGGGGGGTGCCATACAACCCTTATTGTCAAAAAAATACATATGCCCATGTAAATGTCGAAGTATGTGGTAGGCGTCCAGGCAATCAATGTACATCAAACAAGTATATTTTAAACAAGGCTCTGATCAGACAACGCTAAAAAACTGACAGCCACCACCACAGCCACTGAAAACAGCAGAATGCCACTACCACAGCAACAACTCAGATAACGAAGTAGCCAAGTATCTAAATGGGGCCGTTATATTAGTCCTGTTGAAGCTGCATGGAGGTTGTTTGAATTCCCAATGCATGAGGAAAGCCCATCTGTTACTCCACTTGCTGTGCATCTTGAAAACGAGCACCTGTTATTTTGATCCCCCAATGGCCACAGGAGAAAATTGACAAAGTATTGAGAGAGAGTCGCTCTACTTTGATGGCTTACTTTCATTACAACCATGCAAATCACGGCAAACCCGGTTTTCGACCGTTGCTTTATCAAGAGTTCCCTGACATATGACTTGGCAGCAGAATGCAAAAAAGTGGAAGCCTAGGTCTTCGAGTAGAATGTCAATGGGCGCATGTATTACTGCAATCCTGCTGCCGGCGAGAGGTATTATCTGCGTCTGCTGCTCACAGTTGTCAGAGGAGCCATGTCGTTTTCTCATCTGAGAACTGTCAATAATCACGAGTACGCCACCTTTCGCGAGGCCTGTATGATGCTGCATTTGATCGAAGATGATGGAGAATGGACCAGAGCCTTTGAAGAAGCTGCTACCTTTGCCTCTGGCTACGCAATGCGTTCAATGTTTGTCTCTGCGCTCATGTTCAACTCATTGGTATCGCCTGTTCAGATTTGGGATCAATTCTGTGAAAGTTTCTGTGATGATCTTGAGCATGCAATCGTGCAAAAAGGGTATTCGCTGCTGCTCAGCGTGCAACCTGACGCTGAATTTTACCATGGAACGCGAAGTCTTGATTACGGCTTATATCTGTTGCAAACATCTCTTGGTGCACAAGACAGATCTCTAGGTCAGTTCAATTTGCCTTTGCCTCTCTTCAACTGGAATGGCTTGATAAGCAGAATGACTGGCATACAGCGCAATTCATTGATACTCAATGAAATGTCATATCTCCAAGATCAAGAAGCCTTTTCGTACCAGCAAAAGTACGCTCAAATGAACGCTACCCAGAAGCACGTATTTGATACCATCACCTCCTCCATCAACAGCAACACCAATAGCTCACATTTCTTTTTGCAAGGTCCAGCTGGCACTGGCAAAACCTTCATTTACAATACTCTTTGTCACTTTTATAGAAGCCAGGAAAATTGTTCTCTGTGTTGCCTCCTCTGGCATTGCTGCTTTGCTACTTCCTGGTGGGCGTACGTCGCACTCTCGCTTTGCCATTCCACTCAACATCCACGAGCAGTCTGTGTGTGCAATCAAGAAAAACGATGATCTTGCTGATCTCATTCGAGAGACATCATTGATAATTTGGGATGAAGTGCCAATGCAGCATCGATATTGCTTTGAAGCTTTTGATCGAACACTTCGTGATATTTGTAGTCGTGGTGATGAAGTTACCTTTGGTGGTATTCCTGTTGTTCTTGGCGGTGATTTTGCTCAAATTCCACCTGTTGTTAGGCAAGGTGGCCGTCCTGAAATCGTCAATGCCTCACTGAAATCGTCAAGATTATGGCCCAAATTACAAAAGCTGAGCCTGACTGAGAATATGAGACTTGCCAACTCCAATGACACAGATAGGCAATTTGCAGATTGGATAGGAAAAATGTCGTATGAACCATCCATGATTGGCAGCATTGCTTTGCCCTCTTTTTTGAGGCAGATGACTGATCTTGATCAGTTCATTGAAGATATCTATCCTCAGCATGTTCTGCAGTGTCCTCTGCAAAATAGTGATTTCTTCAAGGAAGAGCTATTCTCTGTTCAAAGAACGTCAACGTTGATGCTATTAACAGCAAGGTGATGGAGAACGTGATTGGGGAAAAGGTCACTCTGTACTCTGCTGACACAGCTCAGTCTGATCTGACCAACACGGAGACCCAAGCCTATCCCTCAGAGTATTTGCAAACCCTTTCGCCTTCAGGGCTGCCGCCAGCAGTTTTGGAGTTGAAAGTAGGTCTTCCTGTAATGCTCTTGAGAAACCTCAACCT